TTTTTGTATCAACGTTCGTCAACCATATTGGCCTAAAGTTTTTTGTTGTCGTTGTTGTTGTATCTCTGCCAGGTTTTGTAAGATACTGGCCTCATAGAATGAGTTAGGGAGGAGTCCCTCCTCCTATTCTGTCTGTCTCTCTCTCTTTCTCTATATATATATGTCTATATATATATATATATATATATACACATCTTTTTTTTTTTTTTTTTGAGACAAAGTGTTACTCTGTTGCCCAGACTGGAGTGCAGTGATGTGATCTCCGCTAACTGCAAGCCCCACCTCCCGGGTTCAAGCAATTCTCCAGCCCCAGGCTCTCATGTGGCTGAGATTACAGGCACATGCCACCATGCCCAGCTAATTTTTGTGTTTTTAGTACAGACAGTGTTTCACCATGTTGGCCAGGCTGGTCTTGAACTCCTGAATTTTTTTGTGTGTCTTATCTTCAGTTCAACTCTGATTTGCTGCAGTGTTGGAAGAACACTGGTGGCCTGGTGCATGTCCATGGGAGCCACTCTGTTGAAGCATTTTCCTTGTCAGACGCAATCTGCCAGTGCAGGAGCTATGATGTGGGCCCCCAGGATGTACCTAGGGGCTGCAATACAACCAGGAATGACGAGGCTATGGCCCCAGGAGACAGTAGCAGCCCAAGGGACACTCAAATCAGATTGGCCATGTTACATGGACAAGATCACCTGGCAGAGTTTATGTCATACAGTTCCCCTAGGGCTAAAGTCTCCTATGGGAGCAAGTTGAGCCTAGGGGAATGAGTGTCCCTGGCCATACTCCACTACAGACGTTCTGCACCAAACCCTCTGGGCCCTGTGCTGGCTGGAGTTCTGTCCCTATCACTTCTCTAAGTAGCTCTCCCTGACAAATCAAAGTCTGTGGTGTTCAAGGGATTCCAGACTCCTTGTTAGTTCAACTCATCCCTATCACAGGAGTCACTGGGAGCTAGGAATGTGTCCTGGTACATGGTAGCCCCACACAGTGTTCCCAGCTTCCTCCCCCTTCAGCCCAGCATCTTTGTCTTCCCTTCATCTGTTCTCAGTGCCTTCCCTCTGAAGATCTGCTAGAAATGCACCAGTCTCTCTAATGTCCTGATCCCTTGGTGTGAGCTCTTCCTCCTGGCTGTGACTAGTCAGCCATCTTGGAGCAGTTCTCATGGAAATATAATTCTATGTTGGCAGGTCTTTTCTTTCAGTACTTGAAATGGTGTTATTTCCTTCCAACCTTCATAGTTTCTGAGAAGGAATTATCTGTCATTCAAACCATTTTTCCCCTAAAGGTTATGAGTAATTTTAAAAAAAATTCTGCCTGTAAAGGTTTTCTCTGTGTTTACTTTTTAGAAGTTTGACTAGGATATGCCTTACCATAGATTTCTTTCTGTTTATCTTGTGTCTACATCCATTTTCCTTTTGGTCTATTTTCTCACTGTTGTTTAGATTTGATAATTACTATTATTCCACTTTCCTATGTCTACTCATTTCTGCTATTAGGCCATACACTGAGCTGCTCATACAGTGATTGTATCTTTCAATTCTAAAATTTCCATTTTTTATTTTATTTTATTTCGTATTTCATTCTTGATGCTATTATTTCATTTGTCTCAAGTTTGTTTGCAATTGTTCATTGATGAATTTTTATGATGGCTGCTTTAAAATCCTTTTAAGATAATTTTAACATATCTGACATGTAGGGGTTAAATAGCTACTGACTTTCCTTTCCCATTCAAGTTGAGATTTTCTTAATTTTTGGTATAAAGAGTGCAATTTCATTGATATATGGACCTTTTAGGTGTTGTGTTATAGTACCAGACCTAATATTTTGAATGTTCTAACAAGTTCCCAGTTAATTAAAATGCTGTGGCTGCTGGACTACAGAGGCAAAGAGCCAATTAGATAAGAGGTTTTCTATCCTACTTGCATCTATAAATATTCTGGGAAGATTTTTAAACATGTGGCTAACTGAACTCCAGTCAAGTATTTTTAGCCAACTAGGCTAGGATAAGAGCAGGCAGCAATACTTTTAAAATATTCCCATTTGATTCTGATATGTGGCTAGAATTACCTTGAAAAGGGTGATTCACAGCTTTCAGGTGTGAAATACAAAATGAACACACATGATACATGTTGTCGAGGGAAGCATATCGTAAGACACAAAACTAAAAAATTTCCATGCATTTTTTGAGCCTTGGAGGTTCTTGCTATAGCGGCACTTCTCCTGAAAGAGCTGGAGCAATGGTGTCACTTAGAAATATTTTCCTTTTCCTACCTTCTTTTAATTATTTGTAATTTTACTTTACATTAAGTTAAGGATTAATTATCATCTAATTATGGCATGTGTTCTTCAATCCAGACATATTCCCAGATATATTCCTCCTCTAACCAAACAAGTAGCAGAAAACGATCTTTTCATGATAGTTTTATTATTTGCTGAAATAGGTACGTTTGGTTGCCTTCTTGTCTACTGGCATAAGGAACCTTGCATTACCATAGCTTGAGATTTAGCTTTAGGATTTTCTATAGTAGTCCCAAGTAGAATCATCTGCTCCTGGATATCCAGGAGTAGACACCTGTGGTCAACAGGGTCTAAAGTTGCATTACTGGACACACGTGTCCACCAGCTGGGTTCCTGTGTAGGATGACTAAAGAGTCTGCTTGTACTCCTGGCCCTTGGCTTCCTGAACCATTACCTCATTCTACTATGGCCTTTGGCTTAAAGATTCAGCACACCTTGAGGGACAGCATCTAAAATCTGCAGAATATTATACCCTTGTGGATTTCTTTGGGTGATTTATTTATTAGAACCAATGGATGCTATAATCATGTGGCTATTACTTTGTTTCTTTCCCCACAATGTAGGAACATGGTTCTGAAATATTCCCATATTAATACAAAAAAACACTCTCAGAGCACTGAGATAGCCAATTATCTTTGGGCAGGAAAGGTAAACATATATCTAGAATACAGAAGGATCCTAGTAAGGATGCATCACAGTCATCTCCAGGAGACAGTCATCTGATATCCCAAATTACCACCCACTGGTTGAAGATATTTGTCTCTGCTGCTGTGAAGTTGGATACCCAGAAGGGACAACAGTGGGATCAACACAGGTGGGGATGGTGGTTGTGAGGCATGGTTCATGTCATTTTACACATTCATAGCCCTGTCCAGGCCATCATGGCTACTTCATTACAGACTCTATTATGCAAATATTGTGGAAGTTAAGAGAAAAGACTGAGTTCAGTTAATCTGCTTACAAGTAGATACGCCTTCCAGTATGGTTGGTTGTTTAGCGTCTTATCTGTGGAAGATATGCTCTGCTTTTTGCAGAAATAAATAAAATTCTGCACATGTAATTTCTTACTCATATGAGTGCATCCACATACCTCTCCTCTGGCGCTTCCTCTCTGTGATCTTCCAACTTTCTTTATCAAAGACTGTGACCAACCGTCTATCACTAATTCATGCATATACCTGACTCGGTGCATTTCTCTCTCCACACTAAGTTGATGACTACATGCTGTCCTCAAATATCTGCTAACTCAAGATAATATATCACAGCCACCCATGATTGTGGCCATAGTGTGGGGGCAGCCCACTTTTACTTGCACAAATATATGATGCTGACCTATTCAAAAAGCCTAGATTTTCTTATTGCTGTTTTGGTTTTCTTCTTTTATTTGTTTGCATTTTTTGTTTCCCCATTTGCTATTAGCTGATTGAGAAAACTCATGAGGTCACTGGAGTGAGCTGATGCAAAGGTGTTAGAGTAAGAGAGAAAAATGATAGGAGGAACTGGAACACCTGTCCATGTAAATGAAGCATGGCCTCTGAATCTACTTGAACCAAACCCCAAAAGTACCTAATGTTCATCCTAATATTCAATGGTGCTGAGCCCCACCTGACCGTAAAAATTGGTGAGACTGGCCTCCTCCACTTATGCAGTGCAGCTCAGTTACATACTTTTTAAATGCCTCATGGGTTACCTACCATTACACAGTGATATTCTGCATTTTGAACAAGAAATTTTTTATTTGTTATCTGGTCATTGTTTGGTCTTTTCTAAAATCCCAGGGATTTGTGCCGTGAGTTTTATTGGAGTTTGCAAGACAGTTCACAAAGTGTTCCCATCTAATGCAGATGCATCTAGCACCAAACAATGCTCTGGATCACATGACAGAGCCACTTGTATCAAAGCCCAAAACCTTCTGCAAAACGTTCTCTTTTTCTGAGCCCACTCCAAAAAGACAGCCTTCCAAGTTAGTTTATAAGTGGGGAGGTGGAGTAGACCCAAGTTTGGGATTTGTTGCGTCAACACTCTAAGCAGGCCTTGCCAACACTGTGCTGCATTCTCAGTGGTTGGAGCTGCAAAGTACAGTTATTTATCCTTACCTTGAAGGGAATGAGCCAATGCTACTCAACCACCTTCACTAAATCCCTGATACCTTCTCCAATGTGACAGGCCCTTAAATTTTGTAGGGTTGAATCCCACACTCTGGTCTTCATGTGCTTTCACTGAACATCCAGAGTCCTTATTATTTTCTGCTGATCCTATCTAGTTACCATGATGACATCAAAATTGTGTTGTATGGGGTGATGCTTTGTGAAGCGTCCACAGGATCAAAGTTTCTTCAGCCTCATTGTGAATGTGTTGTCAGGAAAGTTAAGATAGCCCTGGGCCAAGACTGAGGATGTGAGCTGCTGTTCACCCCAGATGACTGCCGAGCCTCCCAGAGACTCTGATGAACTCTGCCTTCACTCTGCGGCTGGGCCCTGGGTCTGGTCAAGCACTGCTGGAGCCTCAGCTGCGCTCATCTGCAGGTGCCAGCAGAGGGCGCCTCTCACATTCACGGAAGGGGCGGGGAGGGCGTTCTCCAGACAAAAGTGAAGACTGTATTTAAAACAACAGGACATTCTCATAATTTGCATGTATCCTTCCTCCCACATCTGAAGTGGTCCTGCTTCTCAGTATTTTATAAGAGGGTTTTTCTCCTAGATGTGTCTTCAGCAAAACTGAAGTCAAAAGCACTGAGATGGTGTCCCCATTGCAACTCCTGGGGCTTCTGCTCCTCTGGGTTCCAGGTGAGAATATTTAGAAAAAGCTGAAACTAATTCTTTGAATCATTAATTTTCTTAATTGGGAACCAAGGACCGTATGGAACTTGGCTTGTTTTTAAATGTGATTTCTTTTAAGTAATGCTTATTCTTTCATCTTGTCCTACTAGATTAGTGGTGATTTCATTAAGCAGATGCTTATATTGTGCTAATGTTTGCTGTATGGTTTCAGCCTCCAGAGGTGATATTGTGATGACGCAGTCTCCAGCCTTCATCTCTGTGACTCCAGGGGAGAAAGTCACCATCACCTGCCAGGCCAGTGAGGGCATTAGCAATTACTTACACTGGTACCAGCAGAAACCAGATCAAGCCCCAAAGCTTCTCATCCAGTATGCTTCCCAGTCCATCTCAGGGGTCCCCTCGAGGTTCACTGGCAGTGGATCTGGGACAGATTTCACTTTTACCATCAGTAGCCTGGAAGTTGAAGATGCTGCAACATATTACTGTCAGCAGGGCAATAAGCACCCTCACACTGCTACAACCCAAAACAAAAACTAGCTCAGCCTGGCTGAACAGAGAAACTGAGCAATATCCTGTTTTTATGATCTTTGCAGGTGCAGTTGGGGAAATAATCTACCAAATGCCGTCACGTATGGCCCATTCAGCAGAGCTGACATCCAAGAGTCAGTGCCTCATACTTTCATCTTTACCCACAGTCACTTTCAAACGAGGAGAAGAGTTGTTGAAGATTACTTCTTCTGTTTCTTTCCATAGGTGTACATAAATTGTCCTTTACAAGTTGGTAAAAACTTTGGATTATTCTTCAGGGCTACAGTTATTCATTTATGACAAAACTGCTTTGAAGGGTAAAGATTAGGCAACAGTCAGGTGATGGCCTGGAGCTCTTTTGACAGAAGAGCCATGGACTCAGGTTTCAGCCATTGTGGGTTCACAGGAATGAGACATTGTTCCTATTTCCAAAGCAGCTCTGTGAAGTCTGACATTTGTTAAACCAGATTAACACTTAAGGTTCACTTTCACTGAATATTTGGGTTTTGATACTTGAAACTGGTCCATCAGGAACAGGGTAAATACCTAGCTATGGCTTTGGAAATGGGGACTATCCCAGAAACAATATTTACCTGGAACAAAAAAGGAATCAGCGTCTTTTGTTGCCAGTCTTAGAAACAGGACAGGGCTACAAGCCGAAGAAGGTTGAAATTAACAACTCTTAATTCCTCCATAAGAACTGCTTCACCAAAATCTGAGTGTACCAAAGCAAAAACTACAAAGAGAAAGTAGCTTCAGGAACTCAAGTAAGATGTAAAAACGAAAAGGACATTTGATTTTATATCTTGTTTGATATATGAAACACAGGGAGATCACCCACGATCCTTGAAATGTTCTTTTCTGCATGTCAAAAGCATTGTCTGTCTCCTCTCTTTTTCCACCTCTATTATCCAAACTGCAGTTTGAAAAAATGTATTTTAAAATTTTTCATTATTCTTGATTGACAGACCAGTATCTTATTGCTAACATTTTTTAAAGCTAAGAGCAACTAAATTCATTTTTTTGAGTTTGTTTCCTGTGTATTTATTCATTTATTTAAAAATAACTTTGGAATACAGTGCAGTCATTGAGAATTCAGGCTTATACTCAGTGACATTTTTGTTAAAGATTTGCATTATATTTGGTCACATAAAGTTACATCAATTTTCTATCAAATTTTTTAATAACACAGATATTTTATTCCAAAGAAGTGAAAAAATGCATTGTAAGAAATAATGTGTTTCAGACACTGCCATCAACTTTCTCCACAAGATGTTTCAAGTTGGAGAACATCTTCTGGAAAAAAACTTGAATTTTGTGCCATGGTTGGTTAAACCCAATGTCAAGAAAGGCTGAGAAAGAGACAACATTCTGTAAGATTCTTTAGTTTTTATGTGTGTAGGCTGTTTGTATGTGTTCTGAAGCATGTTGCTTTCAACCTGTATTCTACTTCTTCTATGGATATGCAGAAACCTTAAGGAAAATAAAGTTGTAATTAGAAATATCTGGTCCTGATATTGGACACCTGCCTGAGGTCACTTTTTAGACCCTTCCCATGCATCAAAGAGCTGACTCCCCTACTCTCTCTATCAGGTCCCATCCACTGTGAGGACCTTTCTTCCATCTGTGTTGTGTACAATCAATCGTACTGGACATTTTACATGCAAAGTAAATTTTCAAAATGATGCTTGTTACTTCCATAAATGTGTTTTTATAGATTCATGTCCAATTCATCTTTTTCAACTGTCAAAGTAGTTAAGTGTCTCTAGTTGAGGGAAATGTACCATGTATGTTTCCAATAAGAAAGACAGACATATTTTTGAATTTAATGAATTTTCACTTAATATCAGATTTTTCAGGAACAAGTAAACGCCATCATTTGAGGGTTAGTTGCATGTGAATAATTAAGACAAATTTTGATCCCAAGTACTGAGACTCAGTAGCGGAATGAGCCATGCAGAGAACAATAACCACATAATGAAACTGAATAGAATACTTTCAGTAGTTGACAAACTGCATAAAAATCAGGCAATGATGTGTGGTATCTGGAGGCTGAGGCCACTTATTTTTGCTGATAGGGGAAAGAAGGTCTCAGGGTCATACTGAAGATGTATCTGAGTGATGAGAAGACAACGAAGCGACCGTGGTGACCGGATCACCATGAGGAGGTCAGGGACTGGGAGATTTCAGATAAACAACTGTGTATTGAAAAAAGTATTTTTTTAAACCTCTGTAATAGCCAGCCAATCCTATAATAATCAAATGCCTTCTGTGATTTTATCCCTTAACAATAAAATTTATCCTAATATCTTTCACCAAATACCTTGGCTTGGATCATACCCGTGACATAGAATGTTCTCTTGCTCAGAAGCTGGAAGCCCAGATCTCTCCTTTGTTGTTAGTTTGTAGGCTTCCTAAAGCCCCTCCCTGCACTCAAGCCCTTATTGGTGTGTTGATCGCTGCCTTTGGGGTGGGACCATCTGAGGCAGAGGCAGCACTGGACACTGGACATAGGACTCTGACCCTTAGTGTCCTCGTGTCCTGACTTCAGCTGTGGGAAGTCCATGTGACAGGGTTCATATGTCCCATGGGACTGAGATTGAGTCCATTGCTCAGGGAGCCCAGCATTCACCTCCTACTGGATCAGTCAGCAGGACTCTGCTGGGAAGCCCAGAGTGAGATGTCATTAATACTGGGGAAGATTTGTATTTTGTTTCCACCTCAGATTCTAGTGGCAACACTGTAGACCCCAGTGTCCAGTCTCTCCCTCAGTGTCTCCAAGAGAAAGAGTTTCTATCATCTGCCTAGAAGCAGTAGAATCCAGAAAAGATTCCAAAGATCCACCCACGTGCTTTGCTTTGACCAACATACAGCCCCAGCTTGATGCAATGGTCCTGGAAAAGACCCTTGCTTGTTAATTAGCAACTTAGTTGTCCGGATGACATTGTTGGTTATTATTGTCTAAAACTGTGCTGTCTCACATGGTTAACACTAGCAATGCATAGCTGCAAATATACAAATTAGAATTAAAGTTAAAAATGTAGATTCTTAGCTACACACACTGTATTTCAAAGGCTCAGTAACCACATATGATTAACAGCTACCCTTGCAGAGCGTAAATAGAGACATTTTCATAATCTTGGAAAAATTGTTTTGGCTGGTGCTGACCTCAGTGATGACATGTGGCCACTCAGTGTTGTGCTTAGAGCACAAGCCTCAGCAGCTTTCATTCAGAGGCCAGTGTGGCCCTGGATCCTTCCTAGCTGGAGCAGCCACTGTGGTCCTCAGAGCTGCTCTGGAAGGGTTTCTTGGATGAGAAGAACGAAACTGAGCTGACAGTTCCAGACCAGGGCCCTGTGTTTCCCGTCCCCACCTCTGCCATAATGTTCTGCAGGATTCCTCGTGGCCCATCATCTCTTTTCCAAAGCATTTGGCATCTCACATGGGTCACAGAATCTAGCCCATAATACTTCTGTGACGAATAAGCTTTCTGAGTAATTTTTGTCCTCAACTATGCAGCTAGTTTGTTGAGAAGAGAAATGATTTTGTGAATCTGGCCTGGTGATGGATGAATCTGGCCTGAGATCCCCTTCATTAACACCCGTGAAAAGACTCACAGTCAAGACTCACTTGGACTCAGCATCTGTAATCCAATGTAAGAGACTAAGCCACAATCCTGACACTAGATGGTAGACAAACCCCATAATAACCCTGAGATCGAAACCTGATCATAGAAATACTGGGAGAGCTTAGAAGTGATAATGTTTCATTATCAATAGCCCCTAAGGCTGGAACGTGGTCTCTGTGTTACCTAGACTACCTGGGAGGAGTTGCCAGTGTCCTGAGTTGTGGGAACCACCTCTGTGCTATGTGCTTTGAGGCTAAAAGCCCAGCTTTGCCTTCACTGCTGCCTTGGCTGTGTCCCCAAAGCCCACCTGCTATAGAGCGAATTGTGCTTCAGAAATTCTTATCTGGAATCTCTAACCTCCAATATAGCTGCATTTGAAGATAAAGCATAAAAGGTGGTAATTAGTGTTAAAGAAGATGATAAGGGTAGGGCCGTGATTCAATAAGACTAGTGTCTTTATAAAAAGAGACCCCATTGAGCTCTCCTCCACCTCCAACCTCCATGCATGCAGCGAGGAAAGGCCATGTGAGGACATGGACAAAAGGTGGCATCTGAAAATCAGAGAGAGGGTCCACAGCATAAAGCAGACATTTCTGGACCTTGATATTGGACTTACCAGCCTTCTGTACTGTTAGAAGTAAGTTTCCTTTCTTTAAGCCATCCAGCCCAGGGAATTTTGATGTGGCAGTCCCAGCAGCCAATCTACTGCCCCCACCTTCTCTGAGCAGGATCAGCCTCAGGAGGCACCTTGTAGACTTTGGGACCCAGGTTTCTTCTCTTCTTCCTTCTGTTCTGACTGCCTGGTGAGGAAGGGGAACTGAGGCTTCATCCTCAGATAGTTTGTATTAAATGTGAACATTTCTTTGATGATGAAGTTGTTAGCCTGCTTTTTTTTTCTGATCAGAATTGCATCAAATTGAATAAACTACTTGCTTCGTATTAATATTTGGGGATCTGCATGTTTGTTCCCCACTTGGATGACAGTGAATTTGTGGTGTGAATACCATCTCCAGCCCCCTCCCTGTGAGACCCTCCAAGTGAGAGGGTCACTGTCACCTGCAGGGCTGGTTGGAGTATTAACAGCATCCTAGTCCGGCACCAGCAGAAACCAGACTGGCTCTGAGCTCCTGCTGGCTCCTGCTGCCCCGCTGGACATGATACCTTCCTGGGTGGGCCTGAACAGATGTCACTCTGGCCATCAGCAACCAAGATGCCTTCAGAGGTAGGTGCTCCCTCCTCCTGTCCCCTGTCATGCACAAATCTTCCCTAGCAACAGCTCTGCCCAGGGTCTGCTAAGGGTCTGAAACCTCAGGGGAACAGGCTGGGGGACACCTCTGAATTCACATCTCCTCTTTGCCTCACATCTTCTTCCCACCTCCTTTATGGGCACCTCTAGTGTATCTTGTGGGCATCACTGCCTGGAGCATGTCAGGATGTTTTCTCCCACCTCCTACTCCCAATTCATGATGAAAATTCATCTTCACTTCAGACATGGGCTGGCCACGCCTTGTTTCTCTTACATACATGCCCTGG